TTTAAATATAATATATCCTAGACTGACAAATCATCTCCGTTCAGAATCGTTTTTCGTATACAATGATACCTATCATTGCATTCAAATCTAACCTACCCTAGTCAGAGGTCCACCCCACCACCAGCTATTGTACAGCAGAGCGACATCCACTTACCCGCTTTTTTAAGTATTAAGTCAAAATTTGAACTTTAAATGATTATAAAAGAAAATTGTGCCTATGTAAGTTTAATATTTTTCAACTGTTATTTAAACCCTATGTTGGAAGCCTTATATTAAATGTTGAAGCTTTTTAACCCAATCACTAAAATTTTATTGACATAATGACATTAATAGAAAAAAAAAACTAAAAAAGTTGAAAAATTAAAATGTCACTAAACAGCTCAAAACTAATCAAAATATTTTAAAAATAATATCAAATATAGAAAATATGTATGTAAGCATTTAGTGAAAATTTCAAGTATCTGCGATCATTTGTTTTAGAGTTACACCAAATTAAGAAAATCACTAGATGAGAAATCTAGTGAAAATCTAATGTTGTAAAAATTTAAACTCCAAACGCTCACAACAATTTAATTTGAATTTCTGGTTGAAATTTTTTTTGTGGTTAAGATTGACAAACTGTATATTGTACTGTATAACTGTACTTAAAGCCGTGGTATAGACAGACCCCGATAATTTGATCCCGAGAATCGAGATAACTAAATCCATGTTGTTAGTTTGTTACCATATGTATGGTTAGGAACTCGATGATCTGGGTCCTATTTGTTCATACACTGCCTACGACCTCTTATAGGGATCTGTTTTTACATGCAACACATAAGTTCAATGTACATKTATAATATATATACCAGGATATTTTTTTTAGATTTATTATTTTTAATTTTGGTAGTTTGGTCAGATATACTCGTACTCATATCATGTAATTAATAAACAATAGGAAATAAATTAAATATAGGAAAAAAAATAATAATAAAAAAAATTATATTTATCGATATCACCTTTTGTTATAAGAGATGGCAGTCAAAAAGTGTTCAATATCGCATATACCAATAACTAGCCACTAGATAATACCTATAATAAAATAATGCTAGTATTATGTTAACGATCTAAATATAAGTCAAAATTTGTAATGAATAATGTGTAGGTACCTTTCTTTTATAATGGTTGTTCTATGCTTAGATCATATACTATGCATCGTTTTTTATTTGATTTGATAATGAATATGGATATAGGTTAAGCCTATACATATTTATTGTATCAAATAAATTTTTTGACTTTTTCCTCCTCTGTTAAAATAGTTAAACCTACATGCAAAATGTATTGTATAGTATACATTATGATGCTTCTCTCTTCTTCGTATGAATAATATTCAATATTTAGATCCACGGTTTATAATATATTGTAAAACTATATTAACTATAACTGTACTTTTTATCTCCCTAATGTGTTTGAACTTGAATAAACAAATTAAAAGAAAGTAAGAGATTACAATTTTGATTCTGTTTTAAATTACATAAAACCACCATATATAAATATTACAACAGGAATCATACATTTATTTAAAAAGTGAGAACAGTATGAATAGTTTACTATAAATTATAGTTTTTAATTAAATACAAATGTCTAATAAATATTCTTAAAAATAAGCAAATACAATGAATATATACAATTAACAATGTGGTGTCATGACATTTATGAGGGTATTTCTTCTCTAGATCTACGATTTCTTCTATTTTTTCCCATAGTTTCTTTAAGTTCTAACAGTCTTGCCGCCTTTTCAGATATCTTTAAAATGAAATATAATTAAAATCATAACTATTTTAATAAATATAAGGGGTTACCCATTTAATTTAAGACACTCATTATTTCAAGAAACTAATGTTTTAAAAAATATTTCATTTAAATAATTTTATTAGCTACAAAACAATATTTTATAGTGTTAGCATAAGACATTTTAATCAATAACTATTTTATTTTTGCTCCTATGAATTATAACACAGATTTTTAATTCCTCATTCAAATTCAGTATTACGATCTATAAAAATTAAATTTAAAATTAGTAGTTTGTTCATTATAATTTATAAACCATTAGTATTTAGTTATAAAGTTTAGATTAGGAGATTAGTAGACTAACATTTTACATGGTATATCTGTATCACTCCAATTACATTAATTTAAGTTTTAAATGCTAATAACTTATAAAGTAGGTTTAGGATTTATATGCATTTGCATGTTTTTTTCTTTAAGTCCAAATTGATTGGATGTCAGATTTGTCCACAATTTTGTTTATTCTCGTTTAAATAGAACTAATTGTTTTTTGCATATTTTGAACAATGCATATAATTGCATATTCATAGATTTTTGAGAATTTGATTTTTTTTAACTTAAATTTTTATAAGTTATTGTTAATTTTAAATGGTACTTTACGAAACAGATAGTATTTGGTTTATCCATTGAATTGTCGTAATTATATAGCATAAATACTACCTATCTTATCTTAGGTCGGATAATATCCGTTTGTAACCTTATTGTTGGTCGGACGACTGATAGAATTACTTACAAATTGTTATACAGTGAGACAGCACAGAATAATTGTATTAGTATGTCATGTGTTGCGTAAATGTGCGGACGTTTATAATTAATAATTTGAATGGTTTTAATAACAGTGTCCAATTTGTCGAAAGTCCAAAGTGAAGTGCCGAGTTACATCTAATTAAACTAATATTTAATGTAATAATATGAACTTCAGTAATAAGTAATAATAATAAATTATGAATTATAATAAATAATAATAAAAATTTGTTTAAGTATATTTTTGTAAATAAAATGCATATTTTACAATTTGTTATTGCATATAATATAAATCTTAGCTCTATTTATAAGACTCATAAACTGCTCGTTATATTAAAATCCAAGTACTCGAAAAACATTGTATATTAGATAATGGAACTAAAAATGTATTTTATCATTAAACAGTTCACAATTAAGGAAATGGTAAATAATACATTATTTTAAAAACCATTGTTTTTGAAATAATGAGTATCTTACGTTAGGATTAAGAAACACATAGTCAACTCACATTATGTTTAAGACTTTCAATGGTTTTAATTCTAGATTCAGCAATGTTGTGCAATTCTTGATATTTCTTTAAACAAGGAGAACATGAACGAACATCTTCTAACTGATTTTCATAATAACCTATACAATTGTCATGAACAAGTCCTTCGACACCATAACATTTTTCAACACAATCAATTTTTTCTATAAGATTTTGTAATTCGTTCTTTGTTTTGATAGGCTTATTGTATTCATATTTTTTTCCAAATATTTGTATTGTAGGCCAGAGGCTATTATTAAAGATAATATTTTTCACAGTCTCAGAAAAACTGCATCGTTGATAAAAAGCTGTTGAATTTTGTGCACTATTATGTACTATTTTCCAAAATACACTAGGGAGTAAAACACTTTTAGAAATTTCATAGATAAATCCGTTATCTTCCTCCACAAAACCTTCAGTATCATCATCAATTATTATACAATCTGAGGTGTTTGTACTATAATCTGAATTGGTATTATAGGTATGTGACTTTCCGGCTAATGAAATACAATTTGAAATTACTGGACTCTTGATTTTAGGCGATTCAGAAAAATCAGATTGATTTGAGGGAGAAATAGGTTTTAAAAATATAACTTGCTCGTCAATGGATTTAGGATAAATTATAGTATTAGAAGACAATTTATGTGGCATTCTTATGGCTGAAGTTGTCTTTTGTTCATTTTGTAACAGAATTTGTTGCGATGTATTATACATAGAGCCACTTGAAGTGGATGGAAGACTATGTATTAAACTAACAGATGAAGAACTGTTATTTGCAGTTGAAGAGAGGTTACTGTGTAATTTTGGTTGCAATGTAATAGACATGGAACTTTTGGCAGACGTTTTAGAAGGTAAATTGACTGATGGTTTTGTTATTTTAGGATTGTCAATAGGTTCCAAAGTAATGGACAATGAACTTTTAGAAGAAATGTCCTGAAGTTTTTTAATCGAAATCGATAAAGAATCATCAATTGAAGATAATGGAAGTGGATCACAATCTTCAACTGGTTCTGGTTTTATCGTTGRAAGTATCTGTTCTGTTTCTGTTTCAGTTTCCAAATCTGTTTGTGAATCATCATCGTCGTTATCATATGGTTCTATCTTAACTATTGACAAATCAACAGGTATTACAGGATTTGATTTTAATGTTGCATCTATATTGCAAGTTGAATTAAATTGACATGTGTTGTTTGTAACTGCATAATACTCTTTATTTTCATTTTCATTGATAGTGACTTTTGATTCATCTGTTAAACATTGAAGTATTATAAATAAATGTATAAAAAAATATTATAATTCTTATTTTTTAAACGATGAAGATAATTTTTGGATAACTAAACTACATACAATTTTTTTAAGAATATTTTACATACCTAATACATCGATTTTGATTTTTTTTGTTGACAACTGTTCATTGGTTTTTTGTCTTTTGGAATTACTTTCATATGATGTCAATACCGGCACAACATTCGTTTCTAATGGCATAATATTAGATACTGATTGCACAACATCAGATGCTGATTGCCCATCAAATGCTGATTGCATAACATCAGATGATGATTGCCCATCAGATGCTGATTGCACAACATCAGATGCTGATTGCACAACATCAGATACTGATAGCACATCAGATTTTGATTTCATTGCAATAGTTGGTACCGGCAAAGAAAAAGGAGCTAATGATTTTACTTTTTGATTAACACCGTCCACCAATAAATTGGGATAAAGTATGTCTTGTTTTCTGAAATGCCTTTCACAGACAATACTATGTATAGTCAACTGTAAGCCTAAAATTGAACTCCATTCATTTATACATTCCTATAAAATAAGCATAAAAACAATAATGAGCAGTCAATAAAAATGATTTTAAAATAATATTTATAAATGATTATAAAAATTACTATTGTTGGTGCGAAAAGAGAAATATCTTCAACTTCTTCAATAGTATTAGTTATGCATCCTGGTATAGAACAGTAAGCTTGAAAATCCTAAAATATTAATATAAAATAATTACATTTATGTATATATAAATATAATGTTAAATTTAAATAACAAATCATTAATCTAAAATAACTTAAACCAGGTTTGCAATGGCCATTGGCAAGTAAGGCTATTAATACAAAATATTCTAATAAATTTATAATTAAATAATATCATAATATCCATTATTATCCATAGGTATTTCATATATAATTGATATTCATATAAAAAAGGTAATTATTTATTATTCACTATGTTATTATATTGTATTTGAATTTGAATACTATTCCTTGACTACAGAGTTTACTATACAAATATTGATCACTACAATAGTAATAAAATAATTATAATAATAATTGAATTTAAATTTTCTTTTCTTAAGAGGCCATTACATCAATATGTATTCTCTCCCTCTTAAAAATGTAAAATAGCACTAACTGTAATGCACAGCAAAGAACTGTGAAGGCTACAGTCATAAGTAAGAAACAATATTTTCACAACATAAAAAGGAGAAATGTGTCAGAGAAATATATTTTTACTTTTTTTTTTATATATTGAAACTATAAAAAATAACACATGCTTGAAAAACTCAAAATAATGGATTTTGAAGCAATAAGTGGTACAAGTGATACCAAATAAAAAATAAAACAAATTTCATAAATATTATTTTCAATTATATTACATATCGATTTGGAGTCACTACACCCTGAATAGTTCTTTCCTGTAAGTAACAGTTTTAGCAATATTGTACATTTGTCTCTTAAACATTGACCTATAAACTCATTATTACTAATTGTTTGTATGTAATTGTTTAAAATCATCTACAAATATACTAAATTAAATACTTGAATATTAAAATTCATTAAATTTTTAAATGAATACTAAATATTAACTACCTATATATTACATACTGCCATTGTAAGCGAAAACGAYGTAATTTACCATAGGACGATTTTGAAAAAAGTGTTTTTGTATACGAGGTGTGTTCAAAAAGTACCCGGAATTTTCGTTTTTCAAAAAAATATTTATTTATTCGTCTACATCAATGTGGTCCCCTTCAAAATAGTCCCCCCCGATATAATACACTTATGCCAGCGTTTTTTCCAATCTTCGAAGCACTCTTGATATTCACTTTTTGGCATGTCCTTGAGCACTCTAAGCGATTCAGCTTTTATTTCTTCAATCGAGGAAAAACGCCGTCCTTTCATGGGTCTCTTCAACTTTGGGAACAGGAAAAAGTCACACGGAGCCATATCTGGTGAATATGGAGGTTGGGGCATGACTACGGTATTGTTTTTGGCCAAAAAATTACGAACAAGCAACGACGAATGAGCAGGCGCGTTATCGTGATGCAAAAGCCATGAATTGTTTTTCCATAAATCGGGGCGTTTTTTCGGATTGCTTCACGCAAACGTCGCATAACTTCAAGGTAATACTCCTTATTAACCGTACGACCTTGTGATAAGAACTCTTGATGCACTATGCCATTAAAATCGAAGAAAACAGTAAGCAAAACCTTGAMATTTGATCGAACTTGACGTGCTTTTTTYRCTCTTRGTGACGTTGAATGCTTCCAGGTGGATGATTGTGCTTTRGTTTCGACATCATAACCGTACACCCATGTTTCATCACCAGTTATGACCCTTTCAAGTAAACTTGGATCGTCGTTGACGTCATTTAGCAGCTCCTGAGCGATKTWCATGYGATTGTTTTTTWGGTCAAAATTCAGCAGTTTTGGAATGAATTTTGCTGCCACTCGTTTCATGCCCAAAACATTTGAAAAAATGTTATGACATGAACCAATCGATATGCCAACTTCATCAGCAACTTCTCTAATTGTGATTCRRCGATCATTCAYAACCATTTTTTCCACTTTTTTCACATTTGCATCGATTATTGACGTGCTGGGTCGACCGGAGCGTTTGTCATCTTCAACGTCTTTGCGGCCATCTTGGAAACGCTTATACCACTCATAAACACTTGTTTTTTTCATAGCAGACTCACCATAGGCTTTTTGTAACAGTTCACACACTTTGTTACACTTTATTTCATTTTTTACGCAAAATTTAATACAAATTCTTTGACTCTTCAATTCTTCCATTGTTTAAACAAGCAAAAATCACCGAGCTCATAAAAACACGTCAAACCTTAGCGATTACCACAGACAAAGTAAACAGTGATTATAGCTGAAAATGTTATCATATTTTAGGGGCATGTATATCAACACAATAAAAAAAAATTTTGACAATCGGACTCTCCAGACCCATTAAAATGTTATTAGTAAAATATAGTGATGCATAACGATATATATTTTCAATTATTGAAATCTGTTCATTTATATAGATATCGAAAAACTACGTAACTACGTATCAATATAGTTTAGTAAAATTAAGAAGTAAAAGTAAAAAGAATACTGAATATAATATAATATAAATTGTATTGACAGTTTTTTTTTGAATTGATTTTATTACATTAAAAAGTGTTCTTTTAGGTATATTATTATAAACAAAAATTAAATATTGAATTAAAATTACAGGAACATTATTTACTTTCATCTATCATTGGTTTACCATAGGTTACTATAACTATCTATCTGAAAGCCAAAATATTTCCATACATCACTACAACCTTTATGAAATGGTACTATTTTAAAACAACACATAATTGTTAATTCATTTTTAATACAGTAGAAGGCTTATTAGGAACACGGATAATTGATCAAATTGCATTATTTTATTGTATAATATACAGGCTGAGCCTTTTTTATATTAGCAAGACTTACAAGGTTTACATGAGAAAGAGAATATTAAAAAAAGAAAAAGAAATAAAAAATTGAAAAAAATTGTCCTGGAACAGACTGGCCTTATATTGCAGGATGTCCCGCGAGGATTTACCCATAACAATATCTCTTGAGATAATAAATACATTATAAATATGTCTTTTTTTTTATTAGACTTACATATACAAGGGATACATGAATTTTATTTTTAATTTCATAAAATTTTTTGGTAAAAGTTAAAGAAATTATTTTTCTGAAAATTTTGACCTTACAATATTTTATTTTCATTAATCTCATGGTTTTTAATAGCTTTTTTTAGTTTAAAGATAAAACGGTAAAAAATTAGTTTTTGTACAGGCAACAAGTCCCTTTCTACGGCTAAATGGTATATCCTCACGGGACACTCTTAATACCATACAAATGTATGTATACATTAATCGCTTATTAAAAACAATCGGTTAACAGACAYATTTCACCTTGGTCCCAAAGTGTTCCTAATAAGCGGCTTCTACTGTATCAATGAATGATGATATTCTGACTCAATGTAGACGACGGAAAAAATAAGACTAAACGTATAAATACAACTGTTACATATATATACATTTACCGTAGGGGTCTTATCATATTGCTAATTGTTAGTATTTAATAGTTATTTGACATTGATTCACTGTCAAAATGTATATAAATACAAAATACAAATTTCAACAAATTGATATTAATCGTCGATATAATATTCGATAATTTAGTCATATAAATATCAAAATACAATATTGTTGTGCATCACTATTAAATATAAATACATCCTAAAAATTTAAGTATTTTAAATAATTAAAAATTGCTCTAAGAACAACATAAGTGGGTTTTTGTAATACATTAAACTTAAATATAATTTTACAAAAAAACAAGTATAAAAACCATATTAAATATTGTAATACTAATATATTCATCCGAATTTCAGAAGCTCAGAATCTATAAACTAACAATATCTAATGCATACGTTATAAGGCTGGAATTTTAAAGCAAATGCTTTATTTTTATATATGAGATAGAATTCTAATTTCTATACATAAATTTGTTTCACATCATTCTCATTCCAAATAAATCAATCTATTTTTACTTATTTTTGTGTAAATGCTTTTTTTAGTTATTCTAGCAGTGAAATTTGTATATTATATTTATTAGGCAATAGTAATAAAAAAAAAAAGCGGGTAAGTTGTGTATGTCGCTCTGCTGTACAGTAGGTTACAAGTGGGTTACTGTAATGGATGGAATTAAATTTGAATCCAATGATATTATATCATTGTATAC